TCTCTTCTTCTTTTCTTTATTTTTAATCCTTAGTTGTCAGAACATTTTATAGAGGAAATGTTGTTTGTTATTCTTCGTAAATTAGTAGATATAATGAGGACCTACCTTGAAAGTGATAGATTCAAAATGAAAAAAGAATAAATGTTTCATATTTTTTCAGAACTGTAAGTAAATTATAAATTTAATAAAAAAAAGAATAATAAAAAAGATAATAAGTAATAATATTATAAAACTAATTGAAGAAACTCTTAAAAACCACAAAATCTATGCAAAATCGATCATCCGTTAGTATAGAAGAATTTGTTACTCTAATTGAAAAGTCATTTACTAATAATGGAGAACGATATTTAAATGCAGCAATAGAAAATTTAAGAAAAGGAAAATTAGAGAATATTGAATATATAAGTGCATCATTACAATATATTCCTGAGGACTGGATTGAAAAAAATATTGACAAATTAATTAATACTTTTAAAGCACTTCCAGAAACTACAGTAGATCCATTTATTGCATTGTTAGGAAGGATGATCCCATCTCCTCATTTAAGAAGTGAAGGACAAAATATTATTAAGACAATTATTGTTCCTAGGGTTGTTAAGTCATGTTCTCATGAAACCCTCATGAAAATTGCAGCCGCTATTGATTTAGAATTAATTAATGGAAGTGCAATTTCACGAATTGCTGATGTTAGTTGGAAGAGTAGTGTTGAAGATGGTGTTTTAATAAACTCTAAAATAAAAGGAGATTTATGGAGTAAAATTGAAGAACATCAATTTTCAAATGAAAATGAAAAGCATCAGGCTTTGTTGTGTTGTTTCAAATATGGAAATGTTGAATTTGATAAAGTACTTAATTATATTAAAAAAATTGGAGGAGTTAGAGAGAATGGTGTTAATGGATTAGACTTAAATGAAAGAATTCAATATTATGAAAAAATTAATCAAACTCACCAATTATTACAACAATTAATTCTTTCTTTTAAATTAGGATTGGCACCTATTTCTAATCAATTATTACATATTTTACTTCAACATTGTGCTCTTATTAATCAATTACCACCAGTAACTATTTCATTATTATTTACTACTATCATTGTGTTAATGGATAATATTAAAGGAATATTAATGACTCGTATTTCATTACTTCTTCCTTTATTACTTGAATTTATAAAACAAAATAAATTAAATGAAAGATATCATTCAATTATTATTCAAGCAAAATCAATTGTTCAAACCCTATCTTTAGAGTCAAAACCTTTCTTAAATAAACAAGACAGTGAAATAATGGCAGAACTACAACAGTTATTAATTTGATTGAATTGATTTACTTTTTATTTTCTTTAGATAATTTAATCATTTTATTGTAAATCTTTATTTGTAACTAATTCATATTTGCTAATTACTCTTTAAATTTCTTTTATTCACTATGTTTTTCTTTCTTTTATTAAAAATTTACAACATTTATTTTCAAATATGTCTTTCTATAAAAAATAGTTAGTTACTTTTGGGAGTTTTATTCAGTATTTAAATTCTTGAATACCTTGGAATAATTTATGATATTCTAATTATTTCTATACCCACTTTTAGTAATGTTGGATTTTGATAATAAAATAATTATTAAAGTGAAAATGTGAAACTAACTGATATATGTCTATGAACTTATTCAATGGTTAATTTTTTCTTTTCAATGAAGATTTATGGTTTTAATATTATTTTTAATTATTATTAACTGTATGAATAAAGATATGTCCACTGAATACTAAATGAATAATAGATGAATACAGAAAGAAGTTAATTTAACAATAAACAATTTGTGATACAATTGTATTGAATGAGTAAACTAGTTTCTATCTATCTTATATTGTGAATATTTATAATATTAAAAAACATCATAAAAATAATGATGAATATTTGATGAAAATAATATAACACAAAACAACATCAAATGGAACTGATTCTAATTCTACCAATAAGAAAAAATAATAATTTCATTGTATTTAAGAATGAATTGAATTGAGGAAAATAAAGAAATGTGTTATTTTATAATAGTCATTTACTAATAATGAAATTATCGAAAAAATAATATAAAATATCAACACACACAATCAATAAGAAACAAGAAAAAGTAACAAATAATAAACAAAGACAATAAAAGATAACCATAGTAGTTGGAAATAAGAAAAACATAGCATACAAAAGAATAATAAAAGAAATAATAGATTATAAAAGACAAGAATAAATATATGAAATTTGTAAATTAAGAAAAAGGAAAGTAATAAAACAAAAGTAAATAATCTCTAATTCTTATTTAAATTCATATTATTAACTAAAACGAAAATAAACGAAGATGGAGAAAGTGAAATACACATGATTAATATAAAGAATATATCAACTGTCATATTAATACAAATCAATAATCGGTAGTTTATTGTTAGTTTTTATAATAATACAAAACAATAATTCAGTAATTAATTAACAAAG